TGAGGGCATTCACCGAGGACATTCACCGAGGATATTCACCGAGGACATTCACCGGGGGCATTCACCAAGGACATTCACCGGGGGCATTCACCAGGGACATTCACTGGGGGCATTCACAGAGGACATTCACCGAGGACATTCACAGAGGGCATTCACCGAGGACATTCACCGAGGACATTCACCGGGGGCATTCACCGAGGACATTCACCGGGGGCATTCACTGAGGGCATTCAGCGAGGACATTCACAGAGGACATTCACCGAGGACATTCACAGAGGACATTCACCGGGGGCATTCACCGAGGACATTCACAGAGGACATTCACCGGGGGCATTCACCGAGGACATTCACAGTCATTCACCAGGGACATTCACCGGGGGCATTCACTAAGGGCATTCACCGAGGACATTCACCGGGGGCATTCACCAGGGACATTCACCGGGGGCATTCACTAAGGGCATTCACCGAGGACATTCACCGGGGGCATTCACCAGGGACATTCACCGGGGGCATTCACTAAGGGCATTCACCGAGGACATTCACCGGGGGCATTCACCAGGGACATTCACCGGGGACATTCACCGAGGGCATTCACTAAGGGCATTCACCGAGGACATTCACCGGGGGCATTCACTAAGGGCATTCCCCGAGGACATTCACCGAGGGCATTCACCGAGGACATTCACCGAGGACATTCACAGAGGACATTCACTGAGGGCATTCACCGGGGGCATTCAACGGGGACATTCACCGCACCCAGATGCTCACTATACAGCAGCAGATTGTCTCCCGGGGGAGGGGGAGTGATAGCCTGCAGAGTCATGTGATCAGCTGACCTGTATTTGCGGTCACTCCTCCTCATCTGATTGGCTCGGAGTTTCAGCACCAAAATGCGCAGAATCCGCAGGAAGATGATGAAGTTCACCTGATGACATCAGAGGAGGGGCGGAGACATCTGTCACATGACTGAGTCATGGAGGAGGGAAGACTGCTATATGGGGGAGGGGGAGGAGGGA